GGTAAATAAGTGGGTATTGCTCTACTGTACGTCAAGTGTTAAATAGGTCACTATTATAAATGTATTAAATTCTAATTTAATGATATAACATTGTATACGAAAAACATTACTTAGCGGAAACATTCTATCAGCTCGTTCAAATTACTATTAGTACTTTTTCCCGATCATAAAAATGTTTAAATTTTATCTTTCCTAAGTATAGACTATATCCAATTTGATATCCAAATCCATCTTTATTTATGAAAACCGAAACATTTTATCGACAACTCATCGTATACTCATCCACAAAAAAAAAAAAAATCAGAATCAAAAAAATGTAGGAAATTCAATCTTAGATTTCTAATCGCTTCCCTAAATTTGGTGCATTTACGTTTGGTAAAAAACACTTCTAAATGTATACACTCTCTATGAGTTAGACAAGGATAGAAACGAACTAGAATTCTCTAAGCGATTGTGTGATTAAATTTAAAACTTTGATTTTTGTTTATTATTTGTTAATATTTAGTATGAATTACAATACGATTATTAGTATACAGTAGTATTGTACATTTTAGTGTATACATTAAATTTTAGCTAAGCTACCTATAATAAGTATTAAGTAGGTAATTAATGATACGTCTTTGTTAGTCGTTTATATGTAATCTGTGTGAATTCTATTGATTATTTGATCTCAAATATAATATAATGATTAATAATATGTAAATACACCTAGTAAAGACCCTTAAATATATGTGCATAGTTCATACATAAGTGCCTACATTCCATAAATCACGTAATAGACTTATAATATTCTACGCGTAATAAATTAATTTTTTCGAGTGTGTTTTTTTTTGAGAGTATGAAAAGTAATTTATGATAAAATTCTAATTTGATTACAACAATTTAAAAAAAAGGGGTGATAATAGGTAATCGCACATCTGTACATCGCGTGTCGTGTGTATATTTTGTTATTGAGTTGGTACTGCAAAGGATGTGTTAAGAATGAATTCATTGATAAATCTGAACAAAAACAGTCTAACTTTTTGGTAACCAATAAGGTTATCAAACAATTATTTTAATAATAATATTCATATTTTTAAAACGTTTCGTATATTTTTCTTCCAATTATTTTATAAAGTTCTAATAATTTTTAATTTTTAATTCTCAAAGTAGGTACTTACAAGATTCAACTTGCTACCAGAATCTCCATCAAAGTTGATGATCAGAGTAATTTTTTACTAGAAAAAATGTTTCTAGGCACAGTAATAAAAGTACATATCATTATTGTAAAATAAATAAATTCATTACTCTTTACAGGTTCTAAAATTTAAAAAATGATTTTTCTAGGAATTAATTTTTGGAAACCATCAAAATGGCCATTTTAATACTATACTACGCTTATTTTGCAGTTATTAAAAAAAAAAAAAAAATACTGCAACTAACTAAAAATCAATCAGGTTATCATTGCTTAAATTTTTGAATTCATTAAAATAAATGATGACGTTAAAAAATACAAATAAGTAATAATGTTTATGGGGTACATATTTTTTTTAATTTTAATTACAATAAATCGTATTAAATCTGTTTTTTAAAATATAATAACATATTATTAAGATAATAATTAATATATTGTACTATAAACATTAAACATTATTATCATCTTTTATTTTAATTTTGTATGTTATAATAAGTTGATATAGTTTCATAGTTATTATTTTATAAAATAGAAATGATATCATATTATTATCACATAACACATCTAGTTCGTTAAAATTCTGATAAATATTTTATGAAATAAAATCGAAAGAATAGATTGATTGTATAAAATAATGGTACTATATATTTTTAAAAGCAATTATATAATTTTAAACTAAATAGTTTTAATATAATTAAATATAGATAATATAATAATTTAATATTTATAAAGTAAATATTTTAATATGCTTCTCAAGTTCACTAAAATATTTATTAAATATTTTAGGATTTTGTATGTCGTAACTATGATATTATTCATAGAGCTAAATTTAGTTGAACGCACAAACTATATAAATATTACAATAAATATAGTGCATAATATATTGTACATGGTTTGTAAATTATAGTTTTAAGTATTTATTGATTTTGATATGATAATAAGTGGAGACTGAAGAAAAGATAAATAAAGAATATAGTTATAAATTCCTTATGAATATAAATAATGATATAAAAATCACTGATGTGAGTGTAAGAAAAAGGGGTGGTGGAACCTATATATAGTTGGGAGCGAAGGGCGAAGAGAAAGAAGTATAAGAAAAAGAAGATAACTAATGTAGAATTTGAGATTCATCGACATTGATTAATTTTAACAATAGTTCAATTTAGTTTTTCTTCTTATAATTTTAATTTATTATTGTACATAATCTATATATTATTCCAAACGCGTTAGTGTTATTTTTTTTAAGTAAATGTTTATTTTAGTTACTTCGATAGCTGGTAGGTATACATTTTAAGTATAAATGAAAATTTCGCATCTATTATGTAATAAATAATCCGATTAATGTGTTTTTATTTTTCATAGAATTAGAGTCAACAATTATGTTTACTAAATTTTGACATTTTATTGATTGTTGGTAGATATTCCTACACCTGTAAAACACGTAAATAAGTAAATTAAATCTTGAAATTGAGTATTCATAACATTATATTACTCATATTTTCAGCGTAAATGTGTAAACCAACAATGTATACAAATTAAATTGTAGACCTACAATTTTTTCCACTGGCCGTTGACCTTAATTGTCTATAATTCTGAATATATTAACCTCGTTGATCACAATAATCTAAGTCAATAACACATATTATGATGTATTGGTAAGTGTGATGCTATGCTACTTTGGTAAACTCTATTTACAATTTAACCTGTAAATTGTAATCGTATTGGCACCAACACAAGTGTAGTTGTATAGTATAACTAATGTCTAATATAAAAAGTCCACAGTTGGATAGATACTTACCATAGGATAATATAATATTATTGATTGTGCTTTTATTATACATATCGTATGTGTATAACTAATCTGCACTATTTAATATAGACGTGCTCACAAGTGGGGGAACAGTGGTATCGTATCCCACCCTAGCTTTAGTTTTATTTCTATTATTTTTTTTTTCATCAACCCAGAAATAAAAATAAAAATTCATGTTTTCAATATTTTTTCCTGTGTGATTTTTACAATTAAATTGTTCAAATCTCACTTTACAACTGAAATATCGTAAAAAATGTCAATTTACAAAAATATATAATGGTTTAAACTTTAAGCTCGATATTAATATTTACTCTATTACACTCAAGAATTGGTTCGGATGAATGCATATTTCCTATGTCGTGTATGGGTTACAGAGAGATACCAGTTGGTATATAGAGCGCTGACATCTTCTTAAATTAATCAATAACAATAAATTATGTGACGAAGTAGTATAAGTAGATATTTATTTTTGTGATTTACGCAAATATATATGTTACTGATATAGATGGAAAGGAAATAATTTTTTTTAAACTGTATTTTAAATTAAAATTATAATAATAATATTAAATAGAAAAACTGTAATAAAATATTTTAATATTCAACGTTACAATTATAACTATAACTAGCATTTGCAGCAAATTAAGAAAACGATTTTTTTTTTAAATTTCAATGGGATTTGAACAGACAAAAAGTGTTAAAAGACACTTTGTACGGTCACATATAGAAAAAATAAAACCGCAGACAGTTTGTACTATTTCAAGGAATAAAAATATACCTACATATTTTATATATTTTATTTTTACACATTTAAATAGGTAGGTTGGTACAGGTAATTCTATAATTTTACTGTAAATTTCCAATAGAAATAAATTAAAGTTATTAATATTAAAAGATGATAATATATAGATATTATATAATATAGGTCCTTCTAAGAATTGTAGTTTTTAAAAGTGTTGAGTTAGTGTAAATAATTATGAGTTACTTATGTATAAACTTAAAAATTCAATTATTGTTTTCCTAGTTTTATTTTCCTATTTTGTGAATTTTTTCTGAAATAAAGTTTTGAACGATTTAATGCTCATCTCAATTTGTAAATTATATTTTCTGGTTTATTTATACCGAACAAAGTGTCCGCGATCAATTATTGAAAAAATTATTTTCATCTTACCGAGTGTTCGTAGTATATAAATCAAACAATAGATAGTATAAAGTATCCGTTTACCATCAAATAGCCAAACACTTATACCTTCCCCGCACAAAAAAAAACTGACCACGCCACTAAACAAGTGAGTTTATAATTTATACCCATATTATTTGTAAAAACAAACCATTAGGTATCTCTGCGAAGTTACTTAAACGCACAGAACTTCCATTAGTTAATTTCTGTCTTATAATTTAATTGATTTATAATTTCTGATTTTCTATGATTATTTTAAATGTTAGGTCTACCAAAAAAACGATTCATTGTTTCAAACCGTTATGCGTCAACAATCGTTTCTTGACAACAGATCTGATACATGGCCAAATAGATATGTTGGTATAGCGCTATAGCCGTATAAACGCTACACATTTACATGGGTAACATATTAATTAAAAAGGTAGTTTAATTTCAATTATACGATGTTTTGATTCAGAGTCGTTAAATGATTGGGACTCGATTTTTTTCCAAACGAACAAGTTTACAAATACCTAATTGAATATTATTTAATTATACCATCGCTCTCCAGTCCTCTTCCCCCCCCCCCCCCCCCCCCCCCCCCCCACACACACACACACACCACGGACCCATCACAATTCACTAATATGTTTCACCTTTAATGCTCTTTCGCTCTTTCAGTACCTACGTAGCTAAACTATGTAGATACGTTCATTATTATCATTATCTTTATCATTTAATATTTTGAGTATAGAGCCACACACACACATACGAACGCATTCGGCGGAAAAAGGTTTGGTTTGCGCATGCGCGTCGTCACAGTCGACAAACCGAATAAAATACGAATACCGGATCACACAACACCAGTGTACCACCAGTGTAGAAACCGTTTGCCGGGAGCTGAGTCTTACTAAAATTGAACGCAGTTTGCCAAGCCACGTGCTCGTCGCCCAACCACTAAAAACACCGCAACATAATATTGTAAGTATTTCTTTCACAAGCAATTTGTGTTACAATTGTTACATTACACCTTAATAAAATAATTAATACCTTTACGTCATAGTATTTTATTCTAAATATTACGTTATTTTAATATTTATATTTGTATAGGTATTAGAATAGGAACATAAATTTTTAGAAAAATTATTTATATATAGGATTTGTCGAATGTCGAATAAACAATAATTAATATATTGTTGTAATAGTTAATTTATTTTTTCTATTATACATTTTGAAAAAAAAAATATGAATCTAGTAAAAACAATTTAAAGAAAATATTAATTTGAAAAATACATATGCATTTTAGATGTAAAAGTAATTATTTTAAAAAGTTTACTAACTCATTATAGGTAATAATACAAAATGGAAATTAAAAATTTGACTGAATATTTAATATTTTATTATTTCAGTTAGAATCAAACTGTTAACAAATATTTGAAATATTCAAATATTCTGAATAATCTGAATGCTGAATCTTTGTTTTTATTTTTGTTACAAAATATAAAACGGAAACAAATTTAAATTTAATTTGAACTTTGTCATGGTATACTTATAGAACTTTAACTCATAAAAATTTAAAATCCCAAGTAAGAAGATAACTTATTTACTAAATGCATTTCCGGTAAAAAAGTTTTTTTTTAATTGTAACTTTCATCGTATTCTAGACGGCTAGTTATTTTTATCGTTTGCTTATAGAAGTTACGAACAATTTTAAGATCTCGTAAACACATACAATGGTAACAAAAGTATCACAATAATTACAAAAAACATGATCAATAACAAATTCATAAATTAAAAATTTAACTAAAATAATTATACTTTTTTTATTTATAATTGGAATATAAAAAAAAAAAAGGAAAAATAGGTCTTTTGACAAAATCAATTTTTTTTTTTTTTATATACGTCATCATTAAACAGCTAAGCATGTTTTACTACTTGTTTTTTGCGAATATTTTCATACTTAAAAGTCATTTTTTCATTATGTTTTGTAAAAATAGATTGCTAAATCGTCTGTTTAACGTAATTGAAGTCTATTTACTATATTTTTGTATTTATAAATTATTTAGTTGACGACGTATCCAAATAATGGTGTTTTTGTTTAATAATGACTAAAGAAATCATGTAACTTATTAATCTAAATAAATCAAATTGAATTTTTCGATTTTTGAATTTCAGTTGTTCTAGTTTTTATTTTTATTTCTTTTTTTTTTTTTTTTTATCAAAAAACACAATCATTGAATCGTTGCACTGGTCACACATTTCCGTGATAATAGTTAACTGTATAGTGTACAGTATATCATACTATTATTGATATTAAATATTTAAGATTTAAATATATTATAGAATATGGATAGTGGATACGCTTGTCCTATTCATTGTACAAACGTCTGTTAGATCATAACGTAACAGAGATAGAACAGTAGGTAGTTAAAAACTCAAGCCAATAATCACTGATAATAATATAAATTTATGAGTTTACCTTATTGTATCTGTAGTATTCTGCTGTGTGCTGGGATCACGTCACGATTCTAATATTGAATTACATATATAAACTTGAATATTAAAAGCTTAATGTATGGAATAAATAGACACATATTTATATCAAATTCCAAATTAAAATCGTTTTTTTGTGTACCTATTTATTGTGTATTGAGGCTGCTGAATAATTCTCTAAGCCGGATATTATTTAAAATTCGCACGTCTAAATACTTATGCGGGTATCATATTATATTATATAGATACGTCATAAAAATATTTTTTTCAATTCTATAATTTACTTTTCAAAATATTTTTTATACATATTAAATTAATTATTGCGTATTTAATAAATATTATAATTATATCGTAGTAAATTATCAAGAATTTTTTTTTGTAGAAATAATATTAATAAAAATAATTATGATAGATGTATGTATAATGTTTTTATATACATATTTATTAAGACTATTACAATCTCTTTATAGTTGATAGGTATAGGTGATAATTAAGTATTCAATAATAAAAGTGTTAATATAAAATACATAGCTACTTATATTATAATGATTAAATTATTGAAATCTATTTATTGAGTAAATGTTGCCTGTAAACTTGTTTCATTGATGTAGTACCTTATTCTTACGGATGAAAAAACAAACACGAACAAATTATTTTAAAATTTAATTAGGTATAAATATTAATTTGATAACATTATAATATATATATACCATAGCAGTATAGCACTTCAATACACATATAATTTAATAATATTATCACTATCTAATATGTTATCAATATTCAAAATATTTATTACCTAAATTATTGAAAAATATGTAAGAAAAAACATACGCACCTCCATTACCGACATCATATGAAGTTCCTTCTGGTTTCTATATATCTACATAATAATGGATTATATCCACTAATATATATGTATTAAACCTATATAGGTACACTAAAGGAAATCAATAATTAATGTTACATATTTGTCTAATCAAATTCAGTACGCTGAAATTCATATTACTAAAATGGGGAAAAAACGTATAAATAACACGTGATCTACGCATACGATTGTTGAATTCCATATAAAATAAATAAAAGGGCTATTAGCTATTAATCATCTGAAATGATAAACTATTTAGTATAGGTAACTGTTCGTTGTATAATAGGTGTGGAATATGTATTTCTTAACTGAGTAGGTCACTTAACAGATTTATTGAATTTCAATTAAATGATAAATCATTGCATAGGTACACAAGATTTTTCTGAACGGAGTCAGTTAACTCTGTTGTATGTAAGCCTAAATTACTAAAAATATTTTATTATATTACTATTATACAAGTTGAATTAGTTTTTCCGAATAAATCAAATATATGTTATTACAAATTATTATAATAGTGAATATTTATATCTTACATTATTATTATTCACTTTTGAGTCAATTCCGACTTATCATAGAACGATGTAAATAGTTTTATGGTATAAATAAGTAATAGCTTAAAATTAATTTATTAGGTATTTTGAAAATGTAATTGTGTATATATAGTAAAAATATGAGAATATATATATAAAAAAATTACAATTTTAAGTCCCCGAAAATGGTGGATTTCAAATACAACACAACAGCTATAATCATTATTTTTATTAAATACTTAATCAATTTTGTGAAATTTGAATTTTAAAAGCTTATAAAAAAAATCGCCTTTGTATTTTAATAATCTTAAAAACTATAAGGACAACTTACACGGATTTTTTGTTATATTTTTCAGCTTTTTGAACAAACATAATATTAATTATTGTAAAATAATTTTAAAATTTTTATTGATTTGTATTTTTAAATTACAATAATTTAACAAAATCTACCTAGTCAAAAACTGGATTTGCATAAAAGTTTCAGTTTTTTCATAGTTTTTTTTTCTCCTAGTTATTCTTAAATATTAGAATTATTTACTAAGTCCAATTTGCTACCAGAAAATAAAATTGAAATTGAAAATCAGAACTTTTTTACTGTTCCTAATTCTAAAAGTGACGTCAGATACAAAAATGTAAACTAAACGAGTAAAAAATAAAAAATATATACGTATACTAAATAAAAATATATGGATTTCGAGATGAGTAAAATCTATGAAACATAATAGAATGAATTGTAATTTAGTGTTTATACAAGTTATATATCTATTTAGCACTCGATTATTCTTGTTTATTTATACTCGTTTAATCACATAAGTATGTAATACTATTATTATATAAGTAGCTAATGTGAACAATTCTTATTTAAACTATACAAGTGTTAAATTAATTTCAAGTAGATTTAAAAAAAAATAACATTACTCAGGTTAAATAATGGGTTAAAAAATAGTATACAGATACAACAGTATCCAAATTTTAATTTAATTTTATAAACTATTTTCAAAAACAAGCTCTATAGACTATTACAATATTGCAATACAGCAATATTAATAGTTTCCTTTATACATCGTTAGCTACGTAGCAAAACCTCATTTGTCGAAATTGAACAATTTTATAAAAGTAATTTCTTAAAAGTTTTTGAATTTCAACTCGCGAAATTTTGCCACGAAGCTGATGATATAGGTATAGGTACTGTTTATTCTTGATATCGAGGTGAAAATAAATATATTCTATGATTAAAACAGCAATTTTTTTTAGGTTTAGAAGAATTTTTGTATGTATTGTACGAGTAAAATATTAAATATTATGTTTTAATATTCACAAAAATATATTTTCTATAGAAAAATATTGTAATTTTTCCCAAATTTTAACACATTATTTGTAATGTGGTTTTGAACGTGTTAATTTAATAACTATTTTTTAAAAATATTTTAGTAAAAATGGCAGATTCAAATTACCCATCATGCCAGAAGAAGATTGATAAAAATTTCGGAACCAAAGCCATACACGTGGGCCAAAATCCGGACCAGTGGTCTTTTAAAGACGTCGTTCCTCCGATTTCATTGACCACGACCTACAAACAGTACGGTCCAAATGATCACGCTGTAAGTTTTTATTTCGATCTTAACAAATATAGTCCGTTACAGACCTATAGAGATTGGAGGGTCTTAAGTTTAACGATACATAATAAAATTGCATTTTCACCACAAAACCTACAAAACTGATATAGTGAAATTATTCAATAAACCAGTTTCAGAATGCAACACTGCAGAGACGATTTACTCATACAATATTATAAGTACACATAAATCATTATCCTTATACATTTATACAATTTTAGCAAACATAAACAAATACAAACACGTACGTACAAGTTGTTCAAGTTTCCATCTCTCTTTTGTGCACATATATTGCAGTAATATAATATATTGATCAATATTATTCAAATATTGGTTATAAATGTTATAATAGTCAATAGATTTTTGTATTTAAACTTATCAGCAGTAAGAATTTTAAACATTGTTCGCGTGAAATTATAATATTTTTATTTTTCCCTTTGCACGTAGGGATTTGAGTACAGTAGATGCGGCAACCCGATCAGAAATGTTTTGCAGAACTGCATAGCTTCGCTGGACAATGGCAAACACTGTCTGACCTATGCGTCTGGCTTGGCTGCCACTACAGCCATTGTACAACTGTTGCAGTCCGGAGACCATATATTGTGCGGCGACGATATGTACGGCGGCACGAATCGGTACTTTTCGAAAATTGCGTCTAGATTCAATGTGAAATTCACTATGACTAACATGACAAACAACGAAAACATAGCGAAATTGATTTTGCCCGAGACCAAGGTGAGATCAGGTTTTATAAATTACTAATTATAAATATTGACGCAAATAAGGGGGACTTAATCCCTCAATTCAAAATTAAGCATTTATAGTACTAATTATAGGTATATCATTTTTATAAAATATTATTAGGCGGGAAGTTTAAATCATTCCACTCCCCAAAAAAATGTAGTTATTTGTGTCTATAAATATCAGCACCTAATCTAATAGAAGTGCGTATATACCTATCATCGATAGCATATTCGAAGTAATCGCCGCTACACTAAATAACTTTTTTCACCTGTACGATATTACATCGTACAATTGCTATATCTATAAAAAAGTGTAATATAGATTTAATATTTATAAAATATATAATACTGCAGTTATACCTAATACATATAAATAACTAAATAAGGTTAAGTAATTTTTATAAAACCATCTTGAATAATAGATAACCTTACTAGATAAGGCTATACTTGATAGCGTATTGATTGTAAAAAATGATTAATTCAAGCCATTAAGCTAAGCCATGTTCTAAAAACAAATAGTTTCTATGTTCAAAGTTATAAGCACTGATTGTGCTATAAATTATATTTATACATACGTTATTATATATATAGAACCTAACCTATCGCTTAATTTGTCTTGAAAATGTATCGTATGATTTAAATACATTCGATACATGCTTATACTTACAGACAGTACAGACTATGGTACATACCTTTTTCATTCCAATCTTATAACCACCACGTGGTAGACCTTGGATCGACCTATTGAAGTTCAAAGGTTTTTACATCTTCTCATGATTTTCACGTTTACTTTTGTACATCTGTACACAATATAATACGCACAGACGTATTATATATATATGTCAGTAATACGAATTAATGTATGTGCATGAAAACCAACACAAAATTTCTAATGATTTAATCATAAATCGTCGATAATATGTCATTCGACATTTACAATATTTACATGTTTTCCTTTTTTAGTACGATTTGCACTACGATAGTATAAGTTACAACAGTGTAATAGACTAATAATAGACCATAGATGAGTAGATAAAAACCTTTGATCACACTTTTCAAGTCGTAGATATATACTTTTAATCCAATTCATTCATTACTCATATTCATTTATTTTTTATGAATGTGGAAAAAATCTATCCATCGTCGTTTGGAAAGACGTAACTTAAATATATGTAGATAATTGCAATATGAATTCGATGAATTCAAACAATAATTTTGTTTACGCGTTCATCATAAAGTCACCATAAAAAGGGTGTAACAAAAAAATAATTTTAATAATTTTAGATAGAACCCTAGTCAAAAGACGTGTTCATTTGTAAAAAAAATATTTCATCTAAACAACAGCAGCACTAAATGCATAAATTAAAATGTCATTGGAGCATAATATGTTAGAATTATGTGAATACGTGATTAAGTTTGTCTGAATTACATTTAATACATTTAATAAAAAAAAATAAAAATATAATCAACCTTATGATTAAACTAAACTACTATTGTTAATTAATAAAAGATTTGTGATAATCGTACAAAACTATACTATAATAATTTAGTTTATTGAATTTTACTTAAAACGTTGATGAATTGATAATAGTTCATGTGTTACACATTATCAGATAATAATAATGAAAAATTATCTCTGAATTTGATTTTAATTATGCATTTTATTAAAAAAAAAAAAACTATGATAGAAATATTTTGATAAATGAAACGAAATGATATTAGAGTTAACTTTTAAAATAATCGATTTGTACTATATTCATATATTAGCCTAGCTATTATACATAATAATTAATATAGTATTATTTTGAAATAATATAATATATTCTTGTTGATGCAGGCGCGAGAGCACAGAATAGATTAAATGCAGTCTATTCTGCATTGGTGAGGGTGTATACATAGTTTATCTATAATTATTTTTACCTCATGTCCGATGAAGTGATTATTAAGTGGATTTAAAAATAGTAAATTAATCGAGTACAATCTTTGTAAATAATTTTATGAATGAACTAATTTTGCATTTAATACACAGGTCATAATTGAAGAAATAATGATTACAATAATATTATGGTAATGATACATGAACGTATAAAAAAAAAAATATGCATGTACTTGACATTTAATTCGTTTTTTAATGTTTATTTATAAGTGTTTTTATTTTACTTGTATTTATATTATACAGGTGTATTATTTTTAAACTTTAAAAAAAAATTTAAATCATGTATGTGTATAGCTGGTATGGATGGAGAGCCCTACAAACCCATGCATGAGAGTTGCTGACTTGGAATCGATTTCGACAATTGTTCATAATATACGAAAAGACATCATCGTAGTAGTCGACAACACGTTCCAGACTCCTTATTTCCAAGTAAATAAGTAAACGTAACATTTAATCACTTGTTTAATAATTTTAATACATGTTTCTGTAAATAATTAATCTATTACCTAAAAATTATTTTCATATTACGTACCTATTCTATAGTGCATTAAATATACCTGTTTTTTTTTTTAAAATCTACATGGTATCAATAAAATAACAAACATTTTTTCGTAGGAATTAAAAGCGTACAAATAATTTTTTTTTTTTCTAATGTTAGTATTTTTTATAAATATCGAAAGTATTGATTTATATAAAGTTTTGTATATTATTATTATTTGATCGTGTTTACAACCTTATATAATTCGTACAAAATCATTGTTTTTATCATATATTTACCTTTTAAAGTATTTTTTTAATAATAACAAACATAGTAGATTAGATTTAATCGTTAACATTTTGTTTTGTTATTTGTACACAGAGACCGCTTGAATTGGGTGCAGATGTCGTGCTTTACTCACTAAGTAAATACATGAACGGTCATTCGGACGTCATAATGGGCGCACTTGTCTTAAACGATACAGAATTATTCGATCGTCTAGCCTACATTCAGAATTGTAAGTACTCGTAAAAGATAATTTTTGTAAATATTATGATTTAGTTTAATCTGTAATTTATAATATACAGAGTGATTCATTAAACAGATTACCCCAAATTTTCCTTTAAAATCCAATTTTTGTATTTTTGAATATACTTTAAGACTATACTTTCAGATTCTTGAAATTTATTTAAATATAAACAATGAATAAATTTAATTATATATGATTATAATTTGTTTGGATCTATATAAAATTAACAATAGTGTACATATGAGGGAGTTGTGTTTATCCCCCCCTCCATGACGATGATATTTCATTTATGCATTTATCAGCGTAATAGTAGGTCTTTTACGACATTTGAAAAATTAAAAGAATTTGAATAATTCGTTTTCAGTTAGGTTCTCAAAAGTTAGTAATACTATACCTTACTAATTAACTTTTAAATCTTTACAACCATGATTTAATACCTGTTTCATATATGACTCAAAAGCAAACATTTAAGTATTGTCTTAATAGAAATCATACAATAAATGTGCTCAATAACTCTTTAAAACACAAAAGTCTAGTATCTATCGAATCATCGTAGCTGCACACCCGTATTTCGATTAACAAAATACTCTATACGAACTTCTTGCGCTCACTGTCGTTCCTGCCGTCTTAATAAATACAGTTTTATTTTTATCGGCACATTTCCTTCATTGGTTATACCCACATAACATTAAGATAATGAGCGATTGACAATATTTTTTTATAATTTATGTTTGTAATCTATTTATTATATTTCATATTATTAAACATATTATATACTATTCGTTGATATAAATGATAACTGTATTTAATTATATATAAAAAACGTATAAATTATATATTTTAATAAAACATCTATAAAAATATTCCTCGAAATAACCTTCCCCCCTTAACATTGGAAATGTCTGTCTCCCTACTGTTAATTAACAGTTGTATTTTTTTAAATATTTATTTTTAATTTCGTTTGCCGTTTCTTGCAGCTTGCGGTATTATGTCGTCGCCTTTCGACTGTTACCTTGTCAACCGCGGCCTGAAAACCCTGCACGTGCGTATGAAGGAGCACATGAAAAATGGTTTAGCTGTGGCCAAGTTCTTGGAACAGCATCCGCTCGTTGAACAAGTGCTGCATCCAGGTTTGCCGTCGCACCCCCAACACAAGGTGGCTTTAAAACAGGCCAGTGGTTTCAGCGGCATGTTGTCGTTTTACATCAAAGGCGGTATCGACGAAGCCACTAGATTTTTACAGGCCATCAAAGTGTTTTGCTTAGCCGAAAGTCTCGGTGGATTCGAAAGTCTGGCCGACCATCCGTAAGTATACCTATTAAACTAAACCAGAGGTGAACTCAGGTATATTCTATGGAGTAAAAGGCTAGGGTTGATAAAATATTTTATTATGGGTATACTTGGGAGATACATTTCAGTTCTTAAAAATTATGATAAATTATTTTTTCAGAGCACTTATGACTCATGCTTCAGTTCCTCCAGAAGAACGAGCAGTGTTAAATATTTCGGACAATTTAATCCGTTTGTCTGTTGGACTAGAATCGGAAGAAGATTTAATCGCTGATCTCGAACAAGCACTAAAAGCGTCTGTTAAAAAATAATCGTGTTTTAATTAAAATTGTATTTTATTTATGTAAAATTACATTAATGTTAATCGGTTAATACACACACACATATATATATATAATAATTATTTTTTATATTATATTATAATATAATAAATTATTTATCAAGAATTTTATTTTATTCGTTAAGATTTATCCACGGCTCCACTTTTAATAATTGCTTGTTCTAAGTCGTCGATCAAGTCCTGGTAGTATTCCAAACCAATGGACAGTCGAATAAGATTATCGTGAATGCCCGTGGATTGCCTTTCTTCGTCCGTGAGCGAAGTGTGCGTCATTTTACAACTATATACGACAAAAAAATCAAAAACATTAATTATTTCCGTATTTGTACTGCACAATAAAATGAAATCATTTTTTCAGTATTTTTGTGGTTTCTTTGAGAATTGTCCATTCGCATATACATCGCAAACGTGTATGAAATTAAAAACTTCATTGGACCGAATGGCCGACTACATATACGTAAATTATAATATATTATGGCTGCAGATCAATATTACTTATTCGGCCCAGTAGGCACGATTAATATAAATATATACTTTATATTTTTATCGAACAACATCTAAACATAAATTTAACGGTAGCTATATGACTTATGGTTTATTATGATCTAATATAATATTGACTCTGATGAGCTTACAATAAATTCATTAAATCACTATACATTTTACGCGAAATGATTTGATAAGTATACGTATTATGCAGTGACACAGATAACAAAACTTAAGAGAAATAAATTCTGTGATAATTTCATCCCTTACAGATACAATTCTTTTAATGGAATACTTAAAAAACGCTATACTGTTTCATTTTCATCTTGAAAATAGAATTACGTAAAAGATTAAAACAGTTAATTAGTTAATACATCAAATAGAACAATGTCCATAATTTTTACAAATAATTTACTTATAACATAAGTAGGGTTAGGATGTTTATGACTTTAAAAATACTAAAAAATGCATGCAAATATGCACAATAAATATCAAAATATGCCCTTAAAAAAAATTAAATGTCTTTTTAAAATTAGTTTATTAGGTACTAATCAAAAATCTATTCCTAATCAATTTACAATACTATTTTTATAACTGTAGACTTAAATACAAATACATACTAATATGAGATTTTTGAAATTAAAAATATAGGCATCACCACACTATCGCGATCATCATTCATAAACATGATTATATTGATTAATAAACGTAGAGTTATAGTCAAGATAAATAAGTAATAAAGATAAGTTAATTAATATAAAATACAAGTTTTTCTCGTTTTCGTTAGTTATGAAACCAACAATGCCTATAGGTACATATTGATGTTTATATTATATTTATATAAGTTTATATTGTTTATAAATAAGTATTTATAAGTTATGAGGAACAATTTTTTATTTTAATTGAAATTTTCAGGTGGTCCACATGAACACGATGGTTTGAGATAAATTGAATTATTTTTAATTATACAATTTTCCACAAAAAGTTTTTTTATAATTTTTGTTTTTTTTATGCATATTTTTACATCTTTTGAAATTTAGCAGTATATATTTTAAAGCCTATTTTGCCTGTTTGTTTGTATTTTACAACTTTTTTAATGCATGAAATTCATAGACCTAGATTAATATGTGTTTTTATTAAAATTTATCATAATATGTCGGAAAAATCGAGTTGTCGGCTAATCAATTCGCAACGAAAAAGGCTGTGGTGCAATGTGCATGACCTCAATAATTGCTATACCGAATTCTAATATTATATTATAACTTATGTTTTGATCTCTAAACTGATAGAATTTTTAGTACAATTACACATAATTGTGTAATAATATTTATTTAAATTTTATATCAATATACATCGACACTCGCATTGTACCACGGCCAAACAAACCAATTTATTTCGGGGAATATTCGGTTCTGTTCACAATAGGGCTGTTCAAATTAAAGTCAACGGGGTAGCAAACTTCAAAATAACGACATTAAGTACAATCATTATATTATTATAAATAGTATACATATAGCACGCAGAGTGATCCATTTAACTGAACACAACAATTTCAAAATAATATTCTCAAAGTATATTTATTATATGACCTATAGGTATTTATTGGATGATCTATTTAAAATAAGACACTCGTTATTTCAAAACATTATTATTTTTGAAGATATATTTTTTACGTAATTTTAAGTCATTAAAAAAAAAAATCGAAATTTTATGAAATTAATGTTTTTTCAGTATTTTTTAACGTTATAGTGTTTTTCTAGAGTAAAATATGCTTAAAATAAATCCAAGAATTGTTGTTTTCTATAACAACGAGTGTTCCGTGTTATATGTATTTCGGAATAACCCAGCAATGTGTAAATTATCCATGGCGTAGGTACTCACGGTAGAGCAGCCAGGCTTTCGTAGCAACCCAGACTGCACGTGATGCAGAACAACTTCAGCGATTCCAACAGCTTTGTGCTAACTTTGATTCCGCCATTGATGTAGAACGACACTATGCCGTTGTGACCGGTAAACTGTTTTTTGATGATTTCGTGTTGTTGATGGCTGGGTAGGCCCATGTAGTTAACTTTGAGCACTTTCGGATGCGACTCCAAGTACAACGCCACCGCCGTGGCATTCTTCATGTGCTGTTCCATGCGCACGTGCAGCGTCTTCAACCCGCGGTTGACCATGTAACAGTCGAACGACGACGGTATGTTTCCGCACGCTGCGGCGAGAAAACAGATCGATGATTTATTTTTTTTTTTTGCAAGTACATCGGTATAATCAAGGCTAAGAATGTAATGCACTAAAAACTCAAAATAATGCACCTAACAAATGCATTTCATTTTTATTAGAAAATACGTTTTAATAAATTTTAAAATAAAATTACAGGACCGCGCAATTCAAGTTTTCTACGTGGACTTTTAATGTAAAAAAAGAATTATTCTCGTTTAATTTTTCGTCGCCGCTTGTAATCTTGATTTTTACGTTGTAAGGATCCGTTCGAAAAATTACGATTAATAATATTTGATCAGGTGAAAAATCTTGTCAGCACGTTACAAAGTTATTTTTTAACTTTATAATATTTAACAATTTTAATTTTAAAGAGTTTTTCTTACACAAATATCCACACTAATTACACAGTATTATATTATATAAGATGTATAAATAGTATTTATATAAAATCACTTACTGTACTGATAAACGTATAATTTATCATACAAATCCTTGTTATTGGTAACCAGTGCCCCCATAACTATATCTGAATGTCCGTTCATGTATTTACTCAACGAATACATAATTACATCAACGCCTAACTCCAACGGTCTCTGTGTATAGTATTAAAAGAGAACAAAAACAATTCAAATTATTTTTATGATTTAAAAATTCAAAGTAGGTATAATATTTTAAAATTTTAACAGTCTGCTCATTCCTGGTGTATACAATAATCTTGTATTTATTTTAATATAACAAAATAAATAAACAATAAGTACCTTCTATAGTATATAAGTAATAAAAAATATTCTATTATATTTGTCGTTTGATTAAAATTGTAGAATATTCCTCCCCGTGTATTAAAACTAATAGACTTAATTAGAGGTTCTCTACAAAATATAATCGTTAGACTATAAATTCGTTGGAAGATCACAAATTTAACCGGTTACAGGTATATCGGTACCTAATAGTAATGGGCCACAAGAAAATTTTCCTAAAATATCTATGTATTTGCGATTATGGTATTAAATAATAATCCAGTATAAGTACCTGAAAATAGGGGGTCACAAATGAATTGTCAACAGCCACTATAATATCTGCTCGAGTGTTGTGAACGGCTTCGGATACTTTCTGTACGTCCAGCACGTTCATTAAAGGATTTGATAGACTCTCGAACCAAACGAGCTAAAATAAAATGCAATAATATAATATTATGTAATAACATATTCATAGGTGCGAAGAAAATTAAAACAATTAATAACAAATAATTTGATAGTATGTTGATGCGTGAACATGAATATATTTATAAACATACAATATAAGTACTGCGAAGCTATTATGATATTTATGGTTTTAAAAAAATACATATAAAGTATGAACTTAAAAAAGTGTTTTTTTTTTAAATGTATAGGTTCCAATCAACAATTTCATTTAGAACAAGTTAATTAAACGCCAGAGAACTATATTTTATTTGAACATTATCGCATTGTATATGTATATATATATATATATTTAAATGGTCATTTTAAATTATATTTTAAACCTACTATTCAATGACTCTGAATACTTATAATATTTATAAATATAGGTATATAATTATTATCTAGAATAATAGTTAATGTATAATTATATAAACGATTTATTTTTTACTTATGGGATTATAATGAAATGTAAGGAATAAGCTGTAGCTGTAGATAAATAAAAATAAATTAATCTACATAGATGTGTTAGTATAATAATAATAATTGTATCGAAATAATTGATTTAGATATATTTACCAACACCAAAAATATTATATAATAATATATTCAGTATGTCAATTTTTCATTGATATGGCTATTGTGTTAAAGCACCAGTGATAAGAAATGGACTATAATTAAAAAAATATACTAGCTGCCTAACCTACCTAACCTAACCTATCGTGTCCCTATTGAGGAATTTATAATAAATTATATTGATTAATAAAATTGCTATACTATTTAATCAGAGTCACAAATAAGTGGATTTAATGGTTAAAATCTTCGCGAAAAATTTCATTCTGAATTCAAAATAGGTAATAAACAAATCTGATTCAATATAAAATATTACTTTATATAATATTATTGTCTCAGACGTTAGAGTGTAAAAATTCATACAACTGTTTTTTTTCATTTTTTTTTTTTTTTTGTATAATTGTGTGCAAATGAGTTAGGAATTTTATTAAATTTGATATAATACTTTATAATATCATAAATTTATACATGCACAAAATGCTTAAAAATGTTGAGTATAAAGCAAGATTCTTATTTTTTTCTTTATAAATTATTGTTTAAGAATGCATATATTTATTTATTGTTGTAGGCGCCTATAAGGCTCAAGTAAAGTATAGGTAAATTTACACTAATAGAACTTAATTATATATAAAGTGGTAATTATTATAACACATAATCCATTATATTATAATATTAAATAGTATTAATAATAATTTAATTAATAACAAGAATTGAATAATATAACAAACTTTAAAGTTGAACAGATTTTAACAAAATATAAATGACATTTTCCTTATCAAATGTAAACCTTGTGTATGGAACAATTCAAAGTTTTTTAATTCTTTTAAAAAAATTCTTAGTTAAAATTCTTTTAATTTTAATATTTCTAGCAATATGATCCGAGGAATTATTATAGCCATTAGAGGTACGAAGAAATGGAATTGATAACGTAAAACAGTACTATGAATTATATTGAGAAACATTAAAATTTAAAAAATTTAATAAAACTAAACTTAGTATGATTTTATATAAAATTTTACTTGGTATTTTTAATAATACTCATTACACTGTACAAGATCTGTATGCACGCCATAATCAATTAAAAATAATATCTTAAATTTAAAATATTTTACGCTGAAGCAATGTTTTTAATTTTTAATTTATAAATCTTATGTATATTCACAACTTGCAGGGCATTTTATATTGAATTTTGTGAAATTGTAATTCATCAATAAGGTTTCTCGGTGCATTTTTCGGGATTTACATTGCACTTTTAAAGATTTGTTTAAACATCAAATTCCCGGCTCTATTTATATATCATAGGCGCTCTCACCTTCGTGTTGGGTCTTATATTTGTGATGATGGTCGCCGTATCGGAAAAGTCGACAAAGTCGAACAAGATGCCCGCCGGGTTGGCCACTTTGTTCAGCAACCGGTGTGTGCCACCGTACACATCGGAGCTGCACAACACATGATCTCCGGGTGCCAACAAATTCACTATAGACGAGATGGCCGCCATCCCGGAGCTGTAAGCCAACGCGTACTTGGCGTGATCTAGTGCTATTAGACATTTTTCCAAGACCGAACGGGTGGGATTGCCGCATCTCGAGTACTCGTAACTCTATACAAAATCAATAAGCTAATTATCGATAATTATTATACGATTGAATTATTTGAATAATTGGAAGAACATTACGTATTTATAAATGCAATTTCGGCGTGAAACTGTCAATGCCATCCGGATACACTAAAGTACCTATATATACCTACATCGATCATAGATAAAAGTAATTAGGTATCTATAATACGTGTTTATAGAAGGAAGTGCAAGAGCATTTTTAAATTAGGCAATTTTCGTCATATAATCATTTTAATATTCTATTTTTTGTCTTTATAGTTTAAAAATATAAATAATATTGAAGATATAAACGTATTTTGTATTTTGATAACTGTGCACTATTATGAGTTAAAAAATGTGCTTATAATAATGTTATGTAATTTATAAACTAATATGCGATCAATTATTCAATTATTTTTATTGTTATAACCACTGTTACAGCATTCAACGAGGAACTACCGTGTTAAGAGAATAGTTAAAAATAGTTTTTTTGATGACGAAAATTAATGCTCTTGAATATAAGACGTAAATTCGTAGTCATTTTCGTACAAAAATAAGATAACGTATTTTTCTACTGTTCTTTTTCTTAAAAAAAAAGTAACATTTTCTCTATATTATCGAAATAAGAAATTGTCACTCTATTTATTAATAACCTATCACTTTTTGGCCAAGAATATATTTCTATCTACTTTTTTGTACAGATAGACAACAAATATGAAATAAATTTAAATTTAAAATAATTTTGATTAAATATTAATTTTTATGATAATTTAAAACTATAATTACTTCAAATTAAAATATAACATTTAAACTATAATCATTTTTTTATTATCTATATATAAGTATTAAATAATAAAATATACGAATAAAAATTAAATTATAAAATTTATTTCATAATTTCATACATATCTTAACCAAATACAAAATAAAATAAATAATTTTAGTACAAAATAAGTAAATAAATTATAATTATAATATTTGAAGAAAATAGACATGATTATAGCCCAAAAATTCAGGTGGGAAATAATTGAAAGTACCATTCTTTTTTTGGACGAAAACAATATTTAATTTCTTCAGTAAAATGATCCCACCCATGTATATAAATATATAGATAAGATAAGTATTAAAATATCGAATTTTTGAAATTAAAAATTTTAAATTATATTCAAAATTATCCGAACACCGTCATAAAGTATACATAAAGCAAAACGATTAAATAGCAAGTTAACGGGACATTGGTCCACTCAATAATTCCCAAACTCTCAAAAAATTAAACATATCAGCATGTTGTGAAATATTTTACAAAATTATTTTTATTTATAGATAGCTTTCTCGAAATAGGACGGATTTTAATTTATAAATTTATATTTTGGATTATTTTATTTATCGCCTGTTTTCACGAAAATAAAAAAATCGTTTAAAATGTTATTAAAACAAATAAACAAGTAGATAGGTACATGAAATGTTCACAATAATTAATAAATATATATTAGGCGGTGATCATATTATAAGTTATAACTGTACACTGTACAGTGTCTCATAGAAATAATTAACTGTTCGGCTAAAAAATATTGTAAATAATTAAATCACTTATTTAAAGGAAAAAAAACTAAATCCATGTCTATTATTAATCTTTGATGAATAATATGTTAATTTCATACAATTTTAAGGTAAATCGCGTACCATATCACTATTCGCATATAATGATACATATTACATAGTATCTAATAGGTATAAAATATATAGATAAACATAATTTATTCGGAAATTCGGAATAATACTTACAGTATTGATGAGAAAATGTTAAAAAAAAAACTCATAATTTAAATCAGTAGGATATTATTTTTATAGTTAAAACATCTTGATCTTCATTCCATTTGATCTATATTTTACAATTTGTTACCTATATAACCGTATCCAAATCATAATTTTTTTTTTTATATATTTATGAACTATTAACCATAATATACTATTTATAACACGTTATGGCCGTTATGCCTAAATTTTATTTATGTACCCACCTAAACACGATATATACACGATGCGTTATTTGACTTATAATACACGGCATAATTAATTATAATTTATAGTAACGTAACATAATAATATTTTACTTCGATTACTCCCGGCGACGGCGAATTAAATATGGTGCTCATCGCAATCGGCGGCACGACATCTTTGTAAGTCCACTCTGAGGGGTTGTGTCCAGCGTGCACGAGTTTGGTCCCGAAATTCGGATCTTTGCGGTTATTTTTCGTCGCGGAGCCGTCGTCGCACATTTTTATTTTTTATTTTTGACAAACACGTAGAACGAAGATCTCGAAAAATAGGTACCTTACAAGGTATAAATGCACACCTACCTGCTATTGATCGTCAACCGTTGTGAATACACCAAAATTGATTAGTACAATACCGAAACTACAATTGTTTCTTGTGCACCAACAAACCTACTGTGACCGATGACACGTAGAGCATTGATTGATCGTGACAAATTACAACAGCATAACTTCGTGTACAATATGATTATCTCCTATACACTCAACGCCCATAATATCAACCAATTTAGTTACAATTAATCGGATGGGGTAATTATTTTACTCGTCCGACCATCCCGCAACGTTTGAAAACTATTTACATTGTAACGCTGTACGGTCATAATTTTATAATCTATTTTATATGCGCATTCGTATTTTACTAAACAATATAATTTATTTTAAATTTGGTATAATATGTATATACAATTTATATATTATTATGTCTATTGAAATATTTTTTAGACTGTTATTGTTATTATATTATTAGTCAGTAATGGTTAATTAACTATTTTGCGAGGACATATTTTTAATTACTTATGAATGCATGAAAAAGACAAGACAATTTAAAAAATTAAGAAACCCAATACAAAAGCATAGGTAAGTACATGAGATTTCATTTTAAAGCACAGATTACCTACTCTTAAGGATATTCAACAAAGATAAACAGTTGTTACCAGCTATATACTGAAAAATTATTATACAGTCATTAACTATTCATGATATTTTAAATTACTGAACATTGCAAATATATTATATTACGGTTTAACAATAATTATTAAAAATAATTTAGATGACCTTAACAACCAATAACTCTATCATTGTTTAAACTAGTGATTACAGATACAATAATTATTATTATGTACTATAACACTTTAAAATACATTTATATCAGTATTATCACAATTATTGTTATGTTAATATTTATATTAAATTAATGATCTATGTATTTATCTATAATCTACATTTATCATATTTAAATAAAAAAAGATACTGCATACACGATACACATATAGTATAATATAAATGATAAAATGAAAAACTAAAAGGGAATGAACAAAAATAGTGTTTAATAAATTCACTTTTTGAATTATATTGAAATGATCAAATTCATAACATTTCTTAGGTATATATCTATGATTAACAACTAAATAATTAATTAATGGTATAGTTAAAATATGAAAAAAAAAAAACAATAAATCACGAAATACCACATTGAAACAATGAAAATACATAGATAATAATATTAGAAGAAATATATTTTAACTTCAATAAGAAGTTTTATACATTAATCTTTTCAACCTAGTGTTGTATTTATGGTGAATCTACAAAATAAAAACTTTAACATCTGTACATTATAAATTTGAATTTTGTTTAATTTATTTTTACGTAAAAGTTACTTTTAAGCTTTTCCAGTAAGGGCAGTAGTTCTATCTGTACTGGTACCTTGTTCTTTTTCTAACTGACGACCAAGGTACTCCCTAAAATAAATAAAACAATACAAATTATTATTCAATAATAATATATTAATTCACAAAGATTTAGATTAGTTTTATTTATTTTTTAAAACTAATATTTAGTATAAAAAATAAATCTTTTTAGTCAGGAAAATATTAGTATAAAGTGTGACCATACATAAAAAAATGTAAATTTTCATAATAACTTAATACATAAGAAATACAATGTACAAAAATAATAGTCAATAAATATATTATTAAACATATTAATCACTAACTTAAACTCAGGTATTTATTGACATTTTGATTTTTATATTTATTAAATCCATAAACTAATCCAACTTAAATTTAAAGTAGGTATCCACAGTCAAAGTTGAATGTTGATAATTAAATTGTATAACAATATATAATTAATGGGTTTAGGACAATTGGTTCAATTTGTTTTTTTCTGTGACATTGAAAGTTTTTTTATTATTTTAATTTTAGTATCCCAATTTAAATTCTTTGTGGCTGGTAGTATTATAACACTCTATTATTATTACTGACATACTAAAGTTATATAAATAGTGAAAACTATTTAGCATCTACAGTATACAGTCAACAAGTTGAATAATCGAAATAATTTGAAACTGAAGTACCTAATACTGAAAAATATACATTATGGTATATTTCAAAACAGTTCACTAAAAAATAATGATTCTAAATTATAATTTATATAACCAATTAATTTTTTTATCTCATTCTATTTCAAAATGTACCTAAAATGCTGATACATATGATTGATAGTGATAGTAAGTAATCTTGATGTAAATTTGATAAATGTAGTATATTACAAAAAAGATATCTTCAATGAAATGTACTTAATAATGAAAATAAGTTGACCAAGGATCAATTTTTTGAATAAAAAATTACGACAGGGAACCAATTGTCTGTATGTCACATTTTTCTACAAAACCAATTATCTATTTAACATTTACCATAATAAACAACATATTGTTATATTTTGTTAAAATTTCAGTCAAATGAACATACAGTTGATGATTCTGCTTCTGACTATTAAAAACTTGACATTTTAGATAACATTCATATATCAACAGCATACATTTTTTTAATCTTTTATATTGAATCATAAAATAAATCCAACTGATAAATATAATATATATTTTACGGGCTGAGCTCTTTTTATAAACATCCAAATTAATTTAATTCACAGAAAATACGTGTATGATAGATACAATCAGTAAACAAAAATATAAAGTAATATTAGAAAAATACAAAGAGAATAAAAATAAAAACCTCAGCAATAACCATTAAATGATGTTAAGTGTGGGTCTACATTGGTGTTAGACATTAATCGCCTTAATGGTTCGTTCATTAAGTAATTAGCAGTAGAATGTGGGACATAAAGTGGATTAGTCAATAGGATTGAACGGCCAGGTACCTTTAAAGAAATTGAAGAAACTAGGTCAGGTGAATCAATTTGGCTATTCAATAACCCTACGAGAAATCTAAGACCCGAATCATGTCTACGTTGAGCTAAAGAAGATAAGTCAAGAGTATTAATAGCCAGTGAATAATTACGTGGTAGACAATGAATTTTTAATTTATAGCTGACAAAGTTCAAAAACTTACATTGAACATATTCAAGCTATCTTGAATGGTTAGCTGTATGGGAATCCTAGACAACACAACCATATTCAAGTACTGGACAGACTAGGATACGATATAAAGCTTTAATAGAAATATGAAGTTTAAAGTCTTTAGCTAAGCGCATAACAAAATCTAGAGTTTTAGATGCCTTATAGCATACATGTTCAATGATTAAGCTAGGACAAAGATAAAAACTCAATTTAAAGCCAAGGTCAATAACAAAACCACTAAATCACTCAGACAATACAAAATAATAAAAGAGATTAAATTCTTTCAAAAGCAAAGACCTAACGTTTAGAAGGATTGAGGGATAATCCCAATGAATTCAACCATGAAGCAAAAGAAACGAAGTCAACGAGGAAAAAGATCACCTCTTTGGCTCAAGTTTTATATTGAATAAAAGTAAAATTATTTGTTTTTAAATATTGCACCAACAGCTGTTTCTATTTAATGTGAAATTGTCTCGTGATGGGCAGAATCACCGATTACATATTAGTTTGGCCAATTAATTTCACAATTATTATAAATACATTTTTCAAGAAACAAAGTATTTAGTTTATATAAATTATTGAATATGGCTCTGGATACTTGAAATTAATTCTATTCATAGGATGTTATCATGTAATTAATGAAGAAAACTAAAATATTAAATAAGTTTGTAATTTATAAACTTACCAATTGTGCACCATGAGTTTTTGCACAGCTAAAAGTGCTTCATAACGCACATTTGCATCATCATGTGATAACAGTTGCATAACAAGTTGTTTTCCACCAAGCTGTTCAATTATACTATAAACCATTAAATAAGACATGATAATATTAAATATTAATTGATTATAATGCAAGTTAAATACATGAATACATGATATGTTATACTTACTGTTTTCCACGTGGATAATGTCTTACATATTCACCAACATCAAAACTAGCAACACTCAAAACAAGTGGGTCTCTGTTAGTTTCCAATAAGTGCACCAAAATACGTAAAAGTTCATAATTTCTTTCATTTAAACGGGATGCATTTTCTCGCCAGAATTGTGCTGATCTGTGTACAGGACTCCATTCCAATCGGCCAGATTTTACTTCAGTTGCATACTCATCAAAGGAACTGTAAAATAATAATTTTTAAAACTAAATTGATGAATTGCAATACATTATATAAAATTTAAATTCTTCTGACTATACCTAAGATCTTGCACAGATGCTTGTAGACGTTCATTTAAAAACTGTATATCCTCAACAATATCTTCATCATCAAATTTTCTTTGTTCAAAAATACTCAGTTGTTTTAAAACTTTACTCTGGACCATAGCGATGCAATGATCTTTGGAAGTAGTATTATCTTCTGGTTTCTCAATTAAATTCTAAAATTTGATTAATCATTGAAAAAATGTTTGATACATCACTGTCTAATAAGAAAATAAGCTAATTCTGCACATCCTTACTCAGCACCTTGCTATCGAGACTAAATCTATATGAGTAAGGTTTTATGTGGAATTACGCAGAAGAACCGATTTTTTTCGGATCATTAGTATGTTCTCTCACTAGACTAATATTTAAAGAATTATAATTTACCCGGAATACAGCGAGAATGATCCGCGTAACCTTTTCTTTAACAGAATCGCTTAGAATATCAGCCAAAATGGGAATAACATTAAATCTATGTAAAAAAAAACAAACATAAATTAGTCAATAATTACATAAAATGTTATCTATTAGAATCTGACTTATTCATTCGTTCAGCCAAGCGTGGATTAAATGTCATAACCCACACACAAAATATCAATTGATATTGAATTTGGAAGTTGACACGTCCTGATAATATACTCAAAAGAGTAGATATACCATCAACTGAAATAAATGCAGTTCTATATTCATCGCGGCGAAGTAGCATTTGCAAGCAGCGAGCAACTGACTGCATATATTCATTATTCTAAAATCAAAAATCAATATTTTAAAATTAATACATCATAATAACACATTCACTGGAGATGAAATCAAATGGTATCATGTACCTTTTAGATAGCATACAAATGAATTATTAAATTTTTTAACTTCTCCTATTATATAAATATATGGAAGTCATATAATATTGAAGCTATAATCTTTCAATTTCTATACATTTTTTTTAGAACCACAATTTTTTCAGTATCACAGCAAGTATATTTAAATATATGTGGCTAATATTATGTTAAGCAATAATTTT